TGAGAAGAAAAGCACATTTTCAGTTTCGTATGCATAATAACAGTGAGCGCTCAATTGCTTTCTTTCCTGGCCACCCTGCTAAAATCCAGTATTAACTGTACGTTTTCAGGTTGAGGATCGAGATCCAGCAGCCCACTCAGCCCGTGAAAAAGCTAAGTCTTTGCTGCATAAATTAGAGGAAGCAATCTCGGAACAACGGAATCTCTGGACTATAAATACTGAGTTAGTGAACACTTGCCAGACACTTGAGCAGAAGACGAGAAAATTGAAAAGTGAGTAGCAAATATGTGTTATGTCCCAATTCAGTCCTCTCTGAGGTGTGGCGAAAGGACTACAGCCATTTTTGTAGATGACAGCTGCTGCATTATTGCCCACATTTATGACAATAAGATGGTTCCAGAAGGCAGTAATGTGGGGCTTCCAGAGAGGTTTGCCTAGTGGCCAAGTAGACTGATTTCAAACGACTAACTTTCCCTTTCAGTTTATTATTTTTTTTAATTATTACAAGCTGGATTTGTTCATGGCTGTTATTTCTTTAAATATTAAAAGTTCTCAATATCTGTAAAAGTAAACAAAAAAATCTTATATGCATGGGGTATTTGAACTTGCAAATGGCTTACATATTCCATCCTGATTTTATTAGCTAGCTTGTAACCATTATATGGTAGAAAAGGACCTGCCTCTCTATTTTGTTTTAAGTAGTAATTTTAGGGTTGTGCAAAATACTTATGAATTCAGTATATCAAAATATTAAATATATAAAATCTTTTTAAAATATTAATGTGCTCTCTACATATATATTTTGCTTTAAAAAATTAGAGTATTTGTCATTTTTCTGTATTATCTGAGAGTGTTTAGGTGTAAAGTCAATTGTCAGATGACAGATGTCAGATTATTCGTAAGCATACTTTATTCTGGAAACATAATTTGGTAAAAATAAAACTTGCTTATTTGGCCATTTATCAGACAATTGCTTTTGTTTTGCCAGCTTCTTGCCCTGGCTGTCCTACATGCATTTTTAGAGAAAGCTACTGATTTGGGTAACAAACAAATGAATTACCAGTTTAAGCTAAGCTAGAGGTGGAGATTTTCAGACTTGGGTTTGTTTTGGATTTATTATATCCTTTCTCCTGCTAACTGAGAATGCAGTCTAAAAAGGCTTGGCTGATTCTAACGTAATAGTAATTATTCCATATTTTATTATTATTTTGAAACCTTGCAGAACTTGCTAGGTTTCAATAATCCTAAATATCCGTTGACTCCCTCAAACAGTGTAAAGCTTTAAATTACATAATCTATATGTTATTTTTTGATTGCTCAGTGGGTATTGGGAAAGGTTCCCTTGTGATTAGAAGTGTTCCTGTTGAGACACGAATAATAAAGCACTCCAGATTTGGTTTATGGTATGTTTGCTTTAGATACTGTGCTTAGAGGACTAATCTTTTGGTTCAGTTATATTTGTCTTTGATTCAATCAACATTATACCCCATAGTTTTATAAAACTAAGAATTTAGCTCCTTCTGTAGTTCTGCCCCACCCCCCATACCTTCTTGGAAGAGTCAGCTTTTGTAACTTATCCCCAAATACACTTTTTTCATATGAACTTGCTATTATCTTCCCAGTTCATTGGTCCAAATATATTAAAAACAGAAGGTGAAAGCTTCTTGGGTTGCATGCATGTGTTTTTTTTTTTTCCCCTGTTTTTGGAGTAGAATGGATGCCTCCTTTCTGTCTTGAGTTGCTCACAACCTGCCTGCCTTTTTGAACTCTGTTACTTGTTTGTATCTTTTGCTGCCCAGAAGCAGCATGCATATCAAGATTTTGCTCTGAAGCCCATTTGCTTATGAGGATTTCTCTAACAATGCCCTTAAAAATCAACCTTTGCAACAAGAGGGAAATTTAGGTAGCACATATTTTTGAAACGTTCTGTAGAGCAGATTTTCCAGATAGACTGTGAATAAATGTCAGTGAGGTAGGACAGTTATCACATAAACACATCCTGGCACATTCTACCATTACCACTGCCACCACATGCTGTTTGAATTCTGAGTCAGACGTTTGAATTCTGAGTCAGAAAACAAAAATATTCAAATCCATTTAGTTCTTCTGAAACTTTCTGGTTAGCTTAATAAACTATTAAGTGTTTAAGGCAATTGCTTTTTGTTGCATCTGAGAATGGTTCATTAGCAAATTGGGTGGGGATTCTGTTATTTTGTCCAAATGCTCAGGTCAATGACACTGTTCATAAACTGGACCTCAGAAGATTTTTTATGACATTTGATTAGAAATCCTGAACTTAATACTGTATAAGTACTATTGTTCAAGTTTTCAGTTGCCACCAGGACTGGACTGATTTATGAGGCTGTCAGTGTACATGCTAGCCTCCATGAAATGTCCCATTAGTACTGCTAAATTTCTTGAATGGTTACGTACATATTTCCTTTCTTCTGCTTATCTATGTATGTATCTAAGTATCTTGTTAAGAAAGGCAGTATTAGGTGTATAAATGGATATTTGTTTTGGAAAGGAAATAAAAAGGCTTCTTAGGGGCACCTGGGTGGCTCAGTGGTTAAGCATCTACCTTTGTCTCAGGGTCTGATCCCAGGATCCTGCTTCTCCCTCTGCCTCTCTCTCTCTGTGTCTCTCATGAATAAATAAATCTTTAAAAAAAAAAGGCTTTAGATCTAGGGCGTTCACTCAACATATTAGAGTGAATCTAATGAAACATAGACCACTTGATCTAATACATCACCTCTTTGCTGTTCATCTTCTTATTGCCCCTAACATGAAATCTTCATTGAGTCCCTGATTTAATCAACAATGAGGAAATTTATTACCTTTAGAAACTATGAATATTTCCCTGCAAAAGAGCCTGAAACACTCCTGTATATCGTAATTCCTTAAACATAGTTCTGTATAAATCTTGTAGTTTAGAGAAGGGCTTCACCTAGATGATCTCACTGGAGACTGTCTTCTAACTTGCTGTCCTTAGTTAGCACGGAGGGCATGTGGTATGGGACAGATAAGAACCTTATGGCTTTGAGGATGGATGCAAGATGAGAGCCACATGTCTTAAACAGTCAGTACACAAGAGGGAAATGAGATTAGAAACGGGGGTTCAGGTGATTGAGACCCTTAAAGATAGGTGTTGGGTTGAGGACCAAGGGAAAAACCCAAAATCAGATAGAGCTTTGCTCAACAGCTCTGATGGGATGGGGGTCTAAGTTTTCCCAAATGTAAGATGCAGAAATGGATAAAATAATCCAGAGGCAGTATAGCGTAATGATTAAGGGCATGGTGTTTGAAGTTAAACCTACCTTCTGATTCTAGGTCAAAAGCAAAACTGGAAAGAAAGAAAAAAAAGCGAAACTGGATAAAGTTGGGCAAATCACTTTATCTTTCTGGTCTCAGTATCCCCTTCCAGAAAATGCAGTAGCTAATTTATAAATAACAAATGCAAAGCAATAAGCTAGTGCTTGGTCACACTCGGCAGAGTCTATTCTGCTAGAGCACGTTTCTGCCACATGCATTACCTCATTTACCACTAGCCAATGGATAATGACGTGAGTGTAATATGGAAGTTTTATCGTTTCATTCATGATTTTCCTGGGAATAAGATCTGGGACGGTAGGAAGAGAACTGTGACCTTCAGCAGGGAAGGAGAAAGTGTTCAGCTTGGCTGCTGACAGGCAGCAGAAGCCCTTTTAGCTTTCTTTTAAGAAAATTAAAAACAAGTGTCTGCACCTGGGCCATTCCCCCACCCCCAAGCGAACTGCCTCCCAGCCTTGCAGAGCTCTGGCTTGTGGCAGACCGTACTCCCTCTTGCGTTCAATTCAGCAGTCCCACTGCCTGAGTTCCACCTCCATCTGCATTTTCTTAGCATCCCACGAGCACTGTGCCATTTAAATGTCACCAGCATCTCTACGCTTTTGTTATTGTGCATTTCTATTATTCTGTGAGGCAGCGTTTGGTCATTTCATGATGCACGTCTCTGTGATCCAAGTTATCTTCCTGGGCACTAATAGTGTATAAGTGTGTTTGGTAGTACTCTGCTTACAGTGTTGTGTATACATTTTTAATGGTCTCTCCCTAACTGTGTTTATCTCAAACTCTGATATTTTTGTTCTCATTGTGATTTTTACATTCCTTCTTTTATTGATGCATAATTAACATCACGAAATGTTCAGATCTTAAGTGGATTGTTTCTCCAGTTTGCCAAATGCACATCCAAACACAGAACTTTTTTTTGACACTTTTTTTAGATGAAGACCTTAATGCTCAGAATAAGTAAATAATGAACCAAAGGTCACAGAGTTAGCAAGTTACAGAACTAGAATTCAAACCCAGCCACCCAGACAGCCTATGTTCAACATATTAATGGTATACCTGTGATTAATATCTTTTTAAAAAAATTTTTATTTAAATTTAATTTGTCAACATATAGTATAACCCCCAGAGCTCATCTCATTCTGTGCCTTCCTTAATGCTGGTCACCCAGTTACCCAATCCCCCCACTCACCTCCCCTTCTGCATCTCAGAGTTAGGAGTCTCTCAGGGTTTGTCATCCTCTCTAATTTTACCCCACTCAGTTTCCCCCTTCCCTTATGGCCCCTTTCACTATTTCTTATATTTCACATATGAGTGAAGCCATATGCCAATTGTCTTTCTCCTATTGACTTATTTCACTCCAGTTCCATCCATGTCAATTTAAATGTTAGGTATTCATCCTTTCTGATGTCTGAGTAATATTCCACCATAGATATATACCACATCCTCTTTTTTTTAAGATTTTATTTATTTATTCATGAAAGACACAGACAGAGAGATCGGCAAAGACACAGGCAGAAGGGGAAGCAGGCTCCATGCAGGGAGCCTGACATGGGACTCTATCCCGGGTCTCCAGGATCACGCCCTGGGCCAAAGGCAGGTGCTAAACCACTGAGCCACCGGGCTGCCCCTACATCCTCTTTATCTTTTTATCTGTCAAAGGACATCATGGCAAAAATATGGAATGCTTCAAGAATTTGCATGTCATCCTTGCACAGGGGTCATGCTAATCTTCTCCATATCATTCCAATTTTAGTATATGTGCTGCCGGAGCAAGCATGAAACACTCCTATAACCCCTGAAAGTTCCCTTGTGCTACTTTCCAGTCACTGCCCTTCCCCCACTTTCACCACTATGAGGATCAGCCTCTGATCTGATTTTTATCACTGATGGGTTAGTTTAGTTTCTAGAATTGAGATATAAAATATGTGCTTTTGTATGTGTCTGTCTTCTTTCCCTAAACATAATATTTATCTTAATATGTTGTGTTTATTAGTGGTATGCCTTTTTCATGATTGAATCCTATTTCTTTGAATGAAATTTTTCCAAAATTTGGTTATCTTTTCTCTATTATTGGACATCTAAATTGTTTGCAGTTTGGGTTGTTATGGAGCAAACTACTTGAACATCTGTGTATGGGTCTTTGTGTGGACATATGTTTTTTTTTAACCTAGGATAAAGATCTACGAGCAGAGTTGTTAGGTCATAGTATAGCTGTAACTAAGAAACTGCCAGTTTTCCATAGGGTCAGTAACATTTTACACTCCCACAAGCAGTGTGTGGGAGTTCCAGGTTTTCTACGGCATCAGTGCTTGGGTTGTCAATTTTTTTCATTTTTGCCATTCTTCTGGGTATCTTGCAATTTTCGTTTGTTGTGCTGTTTGGCTATTGTATATCTTCTTTGTGAAATATCTAAGTCATTTGCTCATTTTCAAATTAGACGTTTGTCTTTCTGTTCCTGAGTTGTAGGATTTCTTTACATATTTTGGATATAAGTCCTTTGACAGACATATGTATTTGTTTTGCAAATTATTTTTTCTGGTCTGTTGTTTTCAATGAAATTGATGTTTTTTTTAATATACAGTTTTATAGTACCTGAGGTAACATATATATTGTGTTATAAAAGTCCATACTCCATAAGTGTCAGCTATCATTGATAGTTAGCATTATTATAGCTCTAATACTATAGTTTTCATTATCAACAGCTAATTAATTGCAGGGCCTTTGCCTGAAAAGCTCATTGTATAGTCATTTGGAAAGTTGTTTTACCTCAGCTTCCTTCAAAGGCAATGTATCCAAGATACTTGGTCTCATTCTATATCACAGATGGCAACAGCAGGGAATACAGTGGCCATTGTTTTATTTGCTTCCATGTGAAATCTAAATGTCCTAGAGACATAGCAGGTCCAACTCCAAACACATAACAAAGAATGCAAAGGTGAATGCAAACTAGGGTCATAAGGCAACGTTTTGCCTTATGGAACATATGGAAATAGTTGCTACACATTGCACAAAACATCTGTTGAAATAAGGTTTACGATTTAAATGTTATGAGATGGACTATTCCTAAAATCCAAGATTGCCTGGTGGGAAAGCAGATGGGCAATTTAGACAGTCTTATACTAACTCATTATTTCTTCTGAAACACAAGCTTAATTTGGAAATCCAAAGGCAGTGTTTTGGAGACACATGACCTTCAGAAACATAATATTCGCCACTTCTGAAAAGTTTGGTTGCTTAAGTGTAGGTCAGGAGAAGGATAATGCCTTATTTAGTAGAATTAACAGAATTTTCTAAAATAGAATCTTTACTGGAGTTTTAAGTATTAAAAATTAAATAATGTTATTACTTAAATATGTTAGAAAAAAATTTTTAAAATATTTTCCCTCCTAGTGGACCTGGTAGCACTGTGTCAAGTTTAATTGTGAAATAAGTTATTTTTAGAAAAAAAATTCTTAAAAAATAGAATTTTACAGGGGTAATTTTCAATATAACTGAAAGATTAAATAGAGTAGATATATTCTATCTTATCTAAAATTCAATATAATAGGGATCCCTGGGTGGAGCAGCGGTTTAGCGCCTGCCTTTAGCCCAGGGCACGATCCTGGAGATCCGGGATCGAGTCCCACGTCGGGCTCATGCATGCAGCCTGCTTCTCCCTCTGCCTATGTCTCTGCTTCCCTCTCTCTCTGTGTGACTATCATAATTAAATAAAACTAAAAAAAATAAATAAAATTCAATATAATAGAAAATTAGATTATGTACTTTCACATATATTAGTATTGTGGCTCAGAGTTTTTCAGGCTATTGAGATATAAAACTGTTGTACCAGATTCGTTTGTTTTGGACACCAGAGTATTTGCTATTAATTTTCCTTGCTGTTAGTGATTTAAAAAAAAAAAGTGGTAGCTATTAATATGTCTCCATCTAGCAGAGCTTCCTACCCTCCTGTAATTTTTGTTTTTAATCATCTGTGGGCTGAGAAAACAGTCCCAGCTTGTGAGAATTATGTATAAATTCAGAGCTTACTGTATGAGTGGAAATGTGAGGAATTGCCACAGGAATAAAGGGCATGAATGTCAACATGTATTTTAGTTCAAAAGACTTGGGCCTATTTTCTGGTCCTTGGCTATATTTCAAAGAGTATGGATTATCAGGTAAGTAATATGTCAGTGTGTAACTCAGAGAGTTAAAAAGGTATTTTCCCCCCTCATTCTGTTACTCCAGAGATGAGAATTTGAAGTTATTGGGAGGCAGATTTCAGTTAAGTAGAAAGACATTTTTAATTTCATGAAAAAGTATACTGAATTGAGCATTCTCCTAAGAGTCTGATTCTAACTCCACAAAAAAACAGTTATCATTGAAATCCTCTATCCCTGTTAAGACATAGAAATGCTACAGAAGGGACACCTGGGTGGCTCAGTGGTTAAACATCTGCCTTCAGTTCAGTGTGTGATCCCAGGGTCCTGAGATTGAGTCCTGCATCGGGCTCCCATGGGGACCCTACTTCTCTCTCTGCCTATATCTCTCTCTCTCTGTATTTCTCATGAATAAATACAATTTTAAAAAGAAAGAAAGAAATCAATCAATCCTCTGGACAATAGTGTTCTCATCATCTGAGACCTACCCATAGGATTCTGGGTTCCACTTCTAAGGCTGCCATCACAACCAGCTCAAGCAGAGGCTTCTTGGAGAGAGGATTTCTGCATTCTAGGCAGTTGTACTGAATGACCTCTAAGGTATATTTCTATGTTAAGGTGAAATAATTCTGTGACTCATGTCTAGTGGACAGTTCACATGCACCTGTCAAGGTTAATTTTAAATGCCCAGAGGTGGTCGTGGTTTGGCTGCTCTAGCCTTTATTCTGCTCTCCCATTTCTGCAAGATGTGAGTTGAGAACGCCATTCTCAGAAGACATTACCTTCTCTTTTCCTCAGACCCCAAATTTAAAACTGTTAAAAGTTTATAAAAGGAATGAAGGGAAAGGGGGTTACAAATTGTCATATTAAGCTGATTATGAATTCTCTTTATAGCAACAACTGAATCACTGAGAAAGAAATTAATTAAAGGACGCCTCCATGGCTTGCTGTTTCAGGTAAAAAAAAAAAAAAAAACCACCTGTGATGTGTGTTTACTGTGGGGAAGAGGTCCAATTTGTATAAGGATTGGAAGCTAATTTATAATAGACAATGATTTTGACCATAAAATTAAATAACCAACTTAGAAGAAAATGCTCTGGTGGACTTTGTCTCTTTTGCACTGAAAGCATTTAGCAAAATAAGAGGGGAGAACTCACATTCAGTCAGTGGCTCCTAATAACATCTTTCAGGGAAGAAGCATTTTAGAATTTACTGCATCTATTAGCAAAGGGCCAATGTTTTAATCTTCAGCACCTCCTTTCTGCACTGTTAGATGGGCTGGGGTGGTTACTGTCTCTTTTGCCTCCTACTTGAATTAAACTTTCAGCTTCTTTCTGTTTATCTCAATATATCCATGGTAGAGTTCAGTGTATTTCTTTCCCTTATGATGCTTGCCAAATTTCTCCTTTTTTGTTCATAAATGAGGAACATAAGGAACAGTAAGGTTGGCACTGGGGGAAGGGACTGGGGAAGGGAAGATAGAAGGGTGATGTCTGTATCTATCTGTTTCCAGGGCATAATGCAGGCACATCTGTTTAAGTAGAAAAAAAATTATTCATGTGGGAGATTAAGCTAGGCAGAGTGCCTAAAAAGCCCCCTACAATAAATTGAAGTGGGAAAACCTCCACATCTAAATATGCTTTAATCCTATTAGCAACACCAATACAATTTTCTATTACAATATAACTATGATAGGTGTGTTTCTGCCTCCTGGATTAAGGTCACAATTCGATTGCTGTGAGGTTTTCACAGGCACCATCTTCACTACATGACATGTCTCCAACAAGCTTCCTTGGCCTCTGCCTAAAGATTTCAATGACAAAACCATTGCATTTCCTGTCCCTGATCTTTAAATTTCATTCCTAGAAGAAGCAAGGAGGGAAATGCAATAAAACTTTACAGTCATAAACCTTCCCTTAAAGTTGAACACTTGACCAAACTGGCCAGTACGACCCTCCTCAGGTAGTATCATATCTTCTCATAAGTGTAGTATGATTTGTATCTTTGTCATCATTCTGCTTTTGAATATGCTCCACCATTTTCTCATGACAGAGCTGTTTAGATGAGAAATCTCCTCACTCTGATCCCTTGTCCTGCACAGATGGAATTCAACAACCATTTCAAGAACAACTGGTAAGTTTTAAGCTTTTTGAAATGATTTGAGTGTCAGTTGTGAATCACTACTATTGCAAAAGAGAAAGTTATGTCCAGTATGTGTTAGTAGTCTTAGAACTCTAAGCCAGATCATTTTTGAGAGATTATTAGATGAAGCAATGGATACGTACTTTTTTCTTTTTTTACCTTTTTTCTTTTCTAGAGAGAGAGCGTACAAATGGGGAGGGTGGACAGAGGGAGAGAAAGAGAGAGATAATCCTAAGGAGACTTCATGCCCAATAGAGCCCACTACAGAGCTCGATTTCAAGACTGAGATCATTACCTGAGTCCAAATTGAGAGTTATATGCTTAACTGACTGAGCTACCTAGGAGCCCCTATTTTTTCTTAGTCACACACATGCATACGATTCTGGTAGACCCTACAATATAGTAATATGTTAAATTACTTAATTGTGGTATCATGAAGAAGTATTGTATAACTAACTAAGCTTCCCTCTCATATATACCTTTCTCCTCAAGGCTTTTG